GGGAGGCAGAGCTTGCAGTGAGCCGAGATCGCACCATTGTACTCGAGCCTGGGCGACAAAATGAAACTCTGTCTCCAAAAAAAAAAAAAAAAAAAAAAGTGGCTGGGCGTGGGGAGACCAGGTCTCTACTAAAAAGATAAAGATAAGTAAATAGATTAGGGCCAGGCGTGGTGGCTCACGCCTGTAATCACATCACTTTGGGAGGCCGAGGCGGGTGGATCACTTGAGGTCAGGAGTTCGAGACCAGCCTGGCCAACATGAAGAAACCCCATTTCTACTAAAAGTACAAAAATTAGCCAGGTTTGGTGGCTGGCTAATTTTCTAGCCAAGCAGCCTCTTCCTTTCTCACTCTGCTAAGCTGTCTTGCTACTAAACCTAATTTACTGACCTCAGGTTGCTATATAATCTTCTTTTTTATAGCTGGGTGGGTCTTCATTCTGAAGGTTCCCATGTATACATGTTAAATACATTTGCATGCCTTCTTTTCTATTAATCAATCTGCGTCAGATCAATTAGTTTTCAGCAAACCTTTAGGACACCAAGAGTCTATCACCCCCACAAAGCCATCCCCTTGTCTCAGGGCAGGAGGGGAAACAGGTCAAGCATGCCTGTTCCAGGAGGGAGAGACAGATATCCTGCAGTGGGGCAGGAATTGGGATGAGGCATGGCCAAGGCTTCCTCACATACACCCATCTTCTCCTCACAGTGTGGAAACTCTCCCTCCTCTCCACACCTTCCTTTTCATTAGCAGGAAACTCTCACCAGGAGTCGGTTTCATCTTATTACCCGAAAGGGGTACCAATCTAGACCCCAAAAGAGAGTTCTTGGATCTCATGCAAGAACTAATTCAGGGTGAGTCCATAAAGTAAAAGCAAGTTTATTAGAGAAGTAAAACAAAAGAATGGCTACTCCATAGGCAGAGCAGCAGCATGATCTGCTTGACAGAGTATATTTATAGTTATTTCCTGATTATGTGCTAAACAAGGGGTGGATTATTCATGAATGTTCTGGAAAAGGGGCAGACAATTCCCAGAACTGAAGGTTCCTACCCCTTGTTATACCACATAGGGTAACATCTGGACATTGCCATGGTATTTGTAAAGTGTCATGGCACTGGCGGGAGTGTCTGTTAGCATGTTAATGCATTATAATTAGTGTATAATAAGCAGTGAGGACCACACGAGGTCACTTTCTTTTCTTGTCTTTTCTTTTTTTTTTTTTTGACAGTTTCACTCCCTCACCCAGGCTGGAGTGCAGCAGCACAATCATAGCTCACTGCAGCCTCTCTGCCTTCCTGCAGCCTCTGCCTCCCGGGCGCAAGCAATCCTCCCAGCTCAGCCTCCCGAGTAGCTGAGACTACAGGCGCAGGCCATGACAACCAGCTAATTTTTGTATTTTTTGTAGAGATGGGGTACCACCGTGTTGCCCAGGGTGGCAGAGGTCACTTTCGTCGCCATCTTGGTTTTGGTGGGCACTCTGTTTTATCAGTGGGGTCTTTATGACCTGTATCTTGTGATACCAGTCCTGCCATCCTCCTAGCTCATCCCGTGACTAAGAATGCCTAACCACCTGCAAGTGCTGCCCAGTAGGTCTCACCCTTATTTTACCCAGCCTCTATTCAAGATGTCAGGCCTCTGAGCCCAAGTCAAGCCATCGCATCCCCTGTGACTTGCACGTATACACCCAGATGGCCTGAAGTAACTGAAGAATCACAAAAGAAGTGAAAATGCCCTGCCCCACCTTAACTGATGACATTCCACCACAAAAGAAGTGAAAATGGCCAGTCCTTGCCTTAAGTAATGACATTACCTTGTGAAATTCCCTTTCGTGGCTCATCCTGGCTCAAAAAGCTCCCCCACTGAGCACCTTGTGACCCCCACTCCTGCCTGCCAGAGAACAACCCCCCTTTGACTGTAATTTTCCTTTACCTACCCAAATCCTATAAAACGGCCCCACCCTTATCTCC